TTAACTATTCTCACCCGAAAAATTAATCAAGTTTAATATCTATTATTTTTAGGGATGATCATGCCGATGTTAGTAAACCTTACTAACGTCATTAGCTTTCGCATTCAGGATCGGCTAATCAAGTTTCGTGGAACAATCATCAACAAAGTCTATTAATGTAATGTATATTCTTAACCTAATCAAGTACTCAAATCCATTTTAATTTCTTGTTTATTTCACTTTATCCTCTCTCTTTGTAGTTTTACCTATAGATATAAAGACCAAGAATTTAATAAGTTAGTAAATTAACACTATGTAAAAACTATTGGTATAGAACATCTACTAGTTGTAAAAGCTCGACTTACACTTTCTTGTTGTTGTTGTTGTTATACCCCTATTACAGTCCCTCATTAAGTTTTTACTACATGAGGTCCTAAGAAGTTGAGTGAATGTTTCTCCTCAAAATTGGAGACCTATTATATAGGAAGTATAATTTCTTGTAGGAGTGTTTGTTTTCGATCTTAAACATTCAGAATTTATATAACATTTGGACAAACAACATGTCCAAAATTCAGATCAATCCAATGGTGAAAAAATGATGTAATGGCTGATAAACAAGGCTGTCTTGAAGGGTGATTTTCCAAAAATGTTCCTATAGAGATAGCTCTTAAATGAAGTTTGCTATTGACAATCCCTCTAGTCAGAATGTAGGTGATATTGAGTATAATAACATAACAAAAAAGCAACCTAATCCAATGATGGAAAACCAAGATATGGCTGCAGAAGTTCTTGCCCTCTTGCCATCCCAAAACCCATAGTTTTAAATCAACTTATTCCTTTTTTGCAAATCAAGCCTTTATCATGCAATTAATCTTGAAATTCACAAGAACAATTATTCCTTTAAATATTTACATGAACCCTAAAATTTTAAACTTAAAGGTTTTCTTCTCCTCATGTAAGAACAAGAGAGAAAAACAAAATTACTAAAGGGTATGTTGCTTACTTTTACTACTTTAACTTATTTAAATGAATTATTGCAAAAATCTACAAAACTCATGTCCTTCTTTTCAAGTTCCAGCTCCTACTCTTCATTTTTCCCAAGCTTTATAACTTTTTAAGTAAAGTCACTTGATTTGTTTTCTTGGATATAATCCTTCCAAGAACACTCTATTTTGATTTAGCTTGAAGAAATGGAGAGGAGATGAAGAAAATAGGAGAAAAATGGTCTCCCTCATGTCTTCTCCTTTTATAGAGGATATGAGCTGTGTTTAAAAGAGGAAAGGGGCATATAATTTTATATAAAATTATCAAAATGCCCTTATTAATGTCCCTTATGTCATCTTCTTCAATTTACCCGATTTTGAGTACTCTCGTAAAGCCTTTCCAAACTTCAATTGATATGCAATTTTAACCTAAGATAAATCAATGAGTCTGTAGATTCTTTATAAAATTTCAGTTCGATCTAATGGTCGGATTGATATATATTATTGATACCGTAAAACTAGACAATTAGTATCTTTTACCCTAAAATTTAAATTTCATACGTTACTTTATTTACTTAGATCCTTATAACATTTTCCTTTAATTTATACTCAATAAATTCAATATTACCATATTTATCACTAATTTCTCAAGATAAGTTTTTTTTATCAGGGTTTACATATCTTCTCGTTTTTCCTATTCTTTTATCCAATGAAACTCGTCACTGATTTCACCAACGTTACGAGTTTTAAACTAAAAATTATGACACTCATTTCGACTTTAAAGATATCTTTAAATTTATTTATGAAGATCATTCTTTCTCTCACACGACACATTTATTATCATTCTTACTATTTATTCATTTATTTCATATTGAATCTCTATTACTCATCGATACCTCATTACTTCAATCCTATGTTTTTTTTTTAATTTATGGGGGTTTACATATCTTACCTAGTATAAATAGAGTTATTTAACTTGTATTTAGGTTGTTTAATACTTGGCTTATTTTAGAATAATTGTGTGTGTGCGAGGTTGCTTATACTTTAAGTGCTTCATTGAACTTTTCTTAGACTTATCAAAGATCAATTGTTTATTCTTCCAGTACTTCTAGTTTTTTATTCTTTATAATCAAAATGTTGGGTCTTTTCATTCAATAACTTTGATTCATTGATTTAGGTAATTATTAGGTTAGTTTTTTTTTTTATCGATTTGATTTTAGCTTTTATGATGAGAATCAATGAGTATCACTAAATGATAAATTAGAGATACCAATTGGGTCAATCATAATATCTAAAAATAAGGAGATCCATGATAAATTGATTGGTTTGATTAAAGATGTTTAGATTAAAATGTTGCAAATTTATTAGACTGAACCTTCATGTATTGTTTAGGCTATATTTAGAGCTATAGGTGGAAGTTTGATGCAATTTTAGTTAGGTTATAAACTAGATATCTCAAGATTTCATCCATATATATTAGTCTCACTAACTCATCTAAATGAGAAAGAATAACATGATTGTAATTAGGATTGAAAAACCGCTAATAAACAAGAAAAAAAAACATTGTTTTTCATATGATTTGTGGATTCATTGAACTTTTTTTAGACTTATCAAAGATCAATTGTCTTTGTAGTGTTCTTCATATACTTTTAGTTCTTTATTCTTTATAATTAAAGAATCAATATCTTCCATCCAATAACTTTGGTTTCTTGATTTAAGTAATCATTATGTTGAGGTTTTTTTTTGTTATCACTATGATATTAGCTTCATTGGGTTATTTATATCTTCTTTGTGAGCTTTAGAATTCTTATCCTTTAAGTTCACATTATAATCACTTAAATGACTTAAATGCCTTGATTAAAATAAAATGTAGTCAAGATCTAAATATACAATAACTTGATTATCTTAATTCTAAGGATCATTTATATCACATGAGTCTTTTCATAGTTACAAATGATCTCTTTATATAAGATCTTCATGCAAATAAGCTCAATGTACTTATCATTTAACAAATACTCACATATTAATTATAGATATCTCTTATACTTAACTTGAGAACAATTACTTCATTATATATATATATATATATATATATATATAATGAAGTAATTGTTTATATATTGGTCTCAAAATAACTCAGCCTTTATAGAGCAATGACCTAGAATATTTAAGAACAATAATTTAATATAATATGAACTCTCATAATTATATTCACTTTATAATTTTGTTTATAAATTATTTTTTAAGAGAATATTTAAACAAAAGTTGTGATTTTAGACTTTATTGATTGGATGAACATGATGCAGAAACACTTTTGTTTACATAGGAGTAAAAGTTAAAGGTGTCATTAATGTGATTAAAAATTAAAGAGTTCAAGATTTTTTGTTTCATATTTTTTTTTTGTAAGTGTTTATGGTTTTTGGTTGAATAAAATTTGAGTTTTTATGAAAGAAATGCAACTCATGTAGTAATTGTAAAATTAAAAAATTAATTATAATTTGAACCTTATATATTATAAATACTTAAGTGTTGCATCCAAATAGCTTAAGCAGGTTTGTCTAAAATGATTTTATTAGTTGACATGTCAAGCAAGCACTAAAGACCATGATTGATAATTTTGAGCAAACAATTTTTATTATCCATCTTATGGATGATTGATTTTTATGATCAATTCCATCATTTTCATGATAAGGTATATTTCTTTTTCAATCTTTTTTTTTTAAAGGAAATGCTATATACATTAAAAATAAATATTCATTTGTTGACATTTTAAGAACACTAATTATTTATTATCAAATAAGAGAAAGACTAAAATCAATCATACTGGAATGGACTAGAGTTATAGATTTCTAATTAATCAAGTATATAGGTAGTCAATCATTTAACTAGGAGACAAAATCAACTAAAAAAATAACTGATCATAAAAGTTTGAGTTCACATGAATAATTAGAAAGTTTAATTTTATTTAGAATATAAGTCTTTAATATAATGAGCTTATCAAAAATATAAATTAGTTTGGATTCAAATGATTATCAACAAAGAAAAATTTTGATTATATTAAGATTTAAGTCTAAGTTCTACATATGATATAGACATTACACAAATATAAACAAGTCGATATAATTACTAGAAAAGATGGCCAAATCTATATATACAATTTATTTATACAATTTACATTTTGAAATTCATATCTTCCAAATTATTTTTTTTATAACTTTTTTTATAACTTTCCTTTATAATTTAGGTAGTTTATTTTTCTTGTTTTTTCTCCTTTTAGTCCTTTGCATGGCATTGCTTGGAACAATATACTTATAATTTTTAAATAAAACAAAATGCATATATAAAGAATTATGCCACATACTCTTTAATTAAAAAAAGTATAAACACTAAATATAAAAATTTAAATTGGTATAAGCACTTGAAATGTGATTGTCTTAAACAAAAAAATATTTTAACAGTTGAGTACATTAACAGTTTAATGTAGTAAAATAAGTTTATATTATTTGAATGATTCTAATTTATGTAATTATTATATAATGGGAGAAGAATTCTAACCACTCAACTACCTTTCCAGTAAAAATAATATGTACCGCAGATGCATGGCACGATGAGTCGGCGCCCGCCAAAAAAAACGAAACTTTGGAATTTTATTTCTATTTATTTATTTATTTATTTTTGGCGCTGTCTGTCTCCATCTGCTAAATAAACGTCAGTTTCTCTCTCTGTCTTTTTCACCACTCATTTTCTTGAGTCTCAGTTTCTGCTAACTGAAAAAAAAAAAAAAATCAAAACAAACTGGAAAAATAAATAAATGAAACGGCAACCCCTAATTTCACGCTCTAATCTCGAATCAAAATCAAAACCAAAAATTTCCTCCTATTATTGGCTGCGTTCGAAAACGTGGGCTAAGGTTTTTAATAAATTTAATTTAAAAAAATTAATTTTTTAATATATTTTATATTGTTTTTGGTACATTAATTTTAAATATATTTTTTTAAAAATAAAAAATATTAAAAAAAACCATAACCAAACTAAAATATTACTATTTAAGGAAAACTTCTAGGAAAAAAAATAAAAACACAGAGAGAAATGGCGTCGAATATAGGGATGATGGACAGTGCGTATTTTGTCGGAAGAAATGAGATATTAACATGGATCAACAACAGGCTTCAGCTCAATCTCTCTCGTATCGAAGAGGTTTTTATATTTATTTTGTTTCTTTATGGTTTTGTTTGTTTGTTTTTGGATTTATTTATTCTGTCTCAATTTAAGGGAATGTTTGGCTTGCCGTATTGTTTTAGCAAATTTTGAGCATGTTAACGAAATGGGTTTTTTGTTTCCCATATGACAAGTTTACACAAAATGGGATGCTCTGATTTAAATTATCGAATTCTCTGTTTACATGGCCTTGAGGACTCTTAGAACCAGTTATGACATGAGCTTTGCCTGCAGGATTGTTGTTTTTTTTTTTTTTACGTGTACTCTGGATTGCTATATTATTATCATTTATTCTTTATGTTTAGTAGTTGTTTTGATTTTCTTTGGACATGCTTTAGGATGGATGAATGCTCTTGGAATGAGATCACATTACGCTTTTTAATTCCTTCTTTTCTAATGTCTCCAATGTCAATTACTGTGCGCAGGCTGCTTCTGGTGCGGTGCAGTGTCAGATGATGGACATGACTTATCCAGGAGTTGTGCCTATGCACAAGGTGACAGAATGCTATTTGCGATATCTTTGTTTTTAATATCTGCCTTGTCATTTGGTTAAGTATTGCAGTTATAGAATTCCTTCAGCTAGATTGCAGTTCCATTTGTTGTAGGTGAATTTTGATGCGAGGACAGAATATGATATGATCCAAAATTACAAGGTTCTGCAAGATGTACTCAACAAGTTGAAAATTGAGAAGGTACTAATTCAATCTCTCACGTTTTTTTTTGTTCTTTCTTTGTGTTGATCTTCTTAATGTTCAGTTTCATTTCTTTTAATATTACTGAATCACCATATGAGCCTTGTGTTAATAGCTTGATCCATGACAGGAAGTTTCTAGAGAGTAAAAATGTAATTTCCACCATATACTACCCTTTAGATATATAAATTTGCAGCATTTCAATCTTGTATCCATACGTTTTCTCATTCTTGTTATCGTTTAGACCATATCTTCCTTGATTGGATCATCTATTTGAGTTTGGCATTATTTTTCAGCCTGTCCAAAGCCAGAGTTGGATGGGAGATTCTTGGATTTTCTAATTTAGGTTTGTAATCTAGGCAAAGAAGGCAAACTTGGCTTCTGTCAGCAAAGACAGTAAAAAAAAAAAAATAACAACCACAATAAAAGAAAAGGGAAAAAAAAAAAAAAAGCTAAACACTATTACCTTAGGTAGTGTTTGATTATTGTATTGGGACAGAAGAGACAGATAATGAAGATAGAGAGGATATGTCTATGCCCTTCATGTTTTGAAAGACTATAAAATTCACTCCAAAACTATCTCAAAGACATTTACTTTGTGTCTCTATCTCTTCAATCAAACATGTTTTTGTCTCTTTTATATTTGTCCCTTCTGTTGTAGGACACTAACCAAACGCAACATTGGTGTTTCAGCAAATGGATGTTATTCCATGTTTTGCTGTGTGTATTGCTAGTACATATAGAGATATGATTGAGTATTTTGTCTGTGCTAACATCTGAGTTCATTTGTATGTTTTACTTACAATTTTGATATTTAATGTTGTTTGTGCTAACATGTGAGTTCATTTGTATGTTTTTACTTACAATTTTGATATTCTTCCAAGTTCTGATACGAGTGAGGAGACAGGATACAATTCTTATCTAAGTTTTAACTTGAGCCAGGAGACACTATATTTGCCTTGACATCCCTTCTATTTCTGTCTAAATGGCAGCATATTGAAGTTAACAGGCTTGTTAAAGGAAGGCCATTGGACAACTTGGAATTCTTACAATGGCTGAAACGATACTGTGACTCTGTAAATGGTGGAATCATGAATGAGTATATAATGTTTTTTTTACAAATCATTCTTCCATTACTTTTAATTCGCTTGAAATAGTTGTTTTTCATTTGCTTTAATCATGTAAGTAGTTTATATTGTGTATTTTATTTCTGAAAGGAACTATAATCCTGTGGAACGGAGAAGTAAGGGTGGGAAGGACCGTAACTCTAAGGGTTCTCAGAAGACCACAAAATCACTGCAAGCAAACAATATGCACAACTCTGCCTCTGGTGACCCAGTTGACCTGAATAAAATGTCCTGTAAGTATAGACCACATGATATCTTCCAAATCCATGCCTTAACTTTTTTTATTTTGACTTTGTTTTTCTTAAATTATTTGTTTGTTGTTTAATGCACATTGCTATAGGGCCAAAGCAAGGCAGGGGAAGTGCTGTGGCAGGTGGAGCAACTTATTCAGAGGAGGTTCAAGCTTTGTCCAAGGAGGTATAGGATTTATTTTCCATTTTCTTCTTGAATTTGAAACAGGAGCAGGTCAAAATCCCCTTGCATTTAGTGTCTATGATGTATGCAGATTGTTCTCTTGCACTTTAGAGTTTTGACTATCAACTTGGCAGGGGGATGATCGATTGTTTTATACCGATGGTGGAGATTAAAAATTTTCATCAACCTGCATGCTCTTTCAAGCTCTAATTTGTAGTCATAGTTATCATAACAGAGTTTTGCAATATGAAAAGATATTGACAGCGAGTACTGATGACTCTGGTTTGCATACAGGTTACAAATCTCAAGCTCTCAGTGGACCATTTGGAAAAAGAAAGAGATTTTTACTTTGCGAAGTTGCGAGATATAGAAATACTATGTCAGATTCCTGAGATGGAGGACCTACCTGTAAGAGTTTCTAGATGCCTAATATATAGATCAAGACATGGTTAGTATCATAAATATTGAGCAGGGAGTTATACTTTTAGTCATGCCATTGTTTAAATGCCATGCAGATGACAGTTGCAATAAAAAAGATACTGTACGCTGCCGATGCTAAGGAATCTGCGCTTGAAGAAGCTCAGGAATATTTATCTGAAGCTATCAATACTGTTGAGACTGAAGTTGAAAGTGAGGCTTGACTTTCGACCAGTAATGGAATCTTGCCTAGGAAAAGTAAAGGCTCAACCATTTATTACAAGCAAACCCGTGTCAATCATGAGATGCTGGTGGTCTTTCACTATGCTACAGACTCTTAATGTTGTTAAAGGTAAATAATTGTAATATTTTCCGTTTATTACATGTCCATGTGTTCTGTTTATTTAAGTGGGGACTAATCGATATAAGTTAAAGGGAGCTACTGCTGCCTCTTTATTATGCATATGTTTGTAGGTGTTTATTACACTTTCCTGGGTTTTTTTGAATTTAAGCAAGGAGTAATCTATCGAAGTTAAAGGGAAGCTGCTGTTGCTTTTCTCTTCAGCACCGTGTGTGTGTGTTTTGTCCTGAACTATTTGATTTATTTCCATATGTTAGTCTCTTTTGTTCCATTATCCCGCATGAAGATAAGAAAATAGAATGGCTTAGATGTATATAGCGGATTCGTGAATGATAATAAACTAAAGGAAAGGAGCAGGAGTTGATCGTGATATGTACGCATCACTGAGGACAGAGGTGAAGGCGACTGGTTGAGAATTTTGTGCTCTGGGATTTGACGCTTAGGCAGTTTGTGCACCTATCATTTTCCTGAACTAAAAGTTTTTGGAGAGCCGTTTCCATCCATCATCTTCAATTACCTTCGCTACCACAGCTACAAAGAAGTACCACGTCATAAACAGTCATGTCATCGAGATGCTCCCCGATTCATCCCATCATAAGAAAGTTTCTATTCGCTTGTTTGATAGTTGCCCGTTAATTTTCATTTAAGATTTAACATGTAATGAAATGATAACTAGATTTGGGATTTTGGATGTTGAACTTTAAGAAAGGAATATTTGTTCCAGAAAAAACCATAATGTAGAAAAGAATAGGAGTTCAAATAAAGGAATTGCATGAATTTAAAAATACCAGAAAGATCTAGAAAAGAAATTGTTAATACAATAATAGTGAGGCACATAAAAGTAGAGGAAGCCCTAGTTACTTGGAGAAGCTCCTTTTAAATCCATAAAGAAGGGGTCAGAGTCGAACCCTCTAATAGGAACCGTTCTCTTATTACACAACATGATGTTAAGATGAAAGGATCCTCGAGGGAACATTCTAGCAGGCCTTGATAGGGGTTACACTCCTGTAAACACTAATTACACATAAATTTACACAACTTTGAAGGGTCAGAACCTACCTCAGTATTCTTCTCTCTCAAAGCCTAATCTCAGCCTCAAGTTCTCCAAAAAGCATTGCCAGTTCCATAAAAAGAAAGGAAACGACATCAAGTACTACTATGTTCTCAAGAAAGAAGTGAAGAGACTTTTAACATAGGGATACTCAAACAATCCCTGAAAAAGGATCCATCTCAAAAAGAGAAGGGAGTTGAAGAGACCAGTATTCCTAGAGATCATTGTCATATTAGGGGGCTCATCTATGAACATAGATTTTACTAGTAATAAGAGAACAAGGCTGGAAGATCAAATTCTAGTTATAATAGGTTAAGAAAGTTCTTTGCATGAACCCATCACTTTCACCCTTGTTGATGAATAAGGGATTAAACATCCACATTAAGATGCCTTGGTGATTTCCACGGTCATGAAGGATCATACAGTCTACAGGATCCTAGTGCATGATGATAGCCTAATGAGCATCCTATCAGGAGAGGCCATGAAAAAAATAGGCGTAAACACCTCCAAAATGACTCTAGTGCCAACACGTCTCGTTAGAATAGAAGGGTCAGTAGTGTCTGTGAACACCTCTAAAGAATGCTTCTTTTTTTTCACTTGTGTTCTTACTTAATTTACATTCATTTCTCAAGAATACATCTTACCGATCCAAATAGGGTTACACAACCCTGTGGCATCTGAGACCCACTTATCCAGGACAGTAACAAAGTCCAAAGTGAGCATCAACCTTTATTATCACCAATCGAGGTTACACATCCTTGTGGCGTCTAGGACCTACTTTTTTGAGGCAGTAGTAAGGGATCAATGCTTCACTCTTTAGGGTGTCTTTCAATGCCCTCTCCCTTTCATCTATCTAGCATTTTCAATTGGAAGTAAAAGCACTAGAGTAGTCTTATCAAGTCCATCATGTCTATCCAAATAGGCTATATATTCATGTATGTGGTCTGGGACCCACATCTCTCCTAAACAACATGAGACCAGTCTCTATAGCATTTAAAAGTGTTGAGGTGGCCTTATGAGACTCGTCTTGTCTATCCAACTTGGGTTACACACCCTATATGTGGTCATAAACCCACATCTCTCATGGATAGTATAGGTACCAGCCTCTATAACATTAAGAAGTGTTAGAACCAGCCTTCTTACAACAACACCCCATCTATCCAACTTGGGTTATACACCTTATGTACAATATGAGACCCACATTTATCCTAGATAACATGGGTACTAGCATCTATAACATTAAAAAGTGCTGAAACCAGCCCTCCTATAACAGCCTCCTATTGGTCCAAACAGTTATACACTCTTGTTGCGTCTAAGACCCACTTCTTCAGGATAATAGTAAGTGTCCAATGCTCCTCGCAAGAAGGATTAAGAACATATCTTGAAGATTCAAACAATGAACTCTCTAGGAAGACTATCCCTACCAGTAAGGCCTTGATAAGAGGAGTATAAAACACATCTTGATTAGAATTACAACTCAACTAAAGTTAGTAAAAAAAAAAATTTAGTCCTTAGTCTCCCTATTTTTTTAAAAAAATAAGCAGACTTAGGGGCTTACTGATAGGTCATGGTTTTCTAAAACCTAACTCCTTTTAGGTTTAGGGTATAGCTAAAAGGTAATTCCATATTGAATCTCCCATACTCTAGGCTTAGGTGAGTAATTATAATATCCATCATATCTCATTAAATACGAACAAGCGATTCATGCTTATATTAATTAAATGTGATGGTATGAATAATATAATAATATTATTTTACTATTATGATATTACATTTCTACCCCTCCTATGTTGTATGAAGCAAGTCAAGCTAGGTAATATAAAAGAAAGCAGGAGTATACAGGAAAAGGGTTTGAAACCTTATACTCTGAGATATACACACAATTTTTCTTCTTCTACTTGAATTCAACATCATTTTCCCCTTCCTCCTCTTTATCTTTATCTTTATCAAAACTTATTAACATCTTCATTATGTTTTTTTGCTAATAAAAATATCTCGTACTGATTCGATCTTTCAGGGGTTCCCTATCAACACCCCTAAGAGTCTTTAAAGGAATTTGTGCAGGTATTTATTCAAGAAGAGATTCACATCCCCTGGGGAGATCTATCAAAGAAGAAGTTAATGTAGTTTTGAATTAAAGGTCATAGAACACAGTATGAATGAAATACAAGGATTTTAAGGAATAATTTCTTCTATAATATTCCCTGTGATTTTTATATCCTCATCAAGTACCAACCAAATATCAGGACATTCATATAAGATTGTGGTAATCATATAAAAAATAAACCAAAATAGATCATAAAGACCCATTCAAAATTAACTAAATGTTAAAAGATAAAGTTGCACAAAAATATCAACAATAAAAAAACAAATGTTGAATAATGAAATTTAAAAAAAAATAAAGAAAAAAAATCAAAGAATAGAAAACAATAAACTAAAACAAGGTAGGCATGCGAGCCTTGGTAGCTTAGAGCTAAGGGGCCTTTTAAAAAAAGTCTAAGTGCATTAAGTTACCAGCCTAAGCCACTGTGCATAAGCCATTTCTTTTTAACTTTTCCTTTTTTTAAAAAAAATCAAACTAGGCGAATGATGCTTAATTTTTTAAAAATAAACAAAGGAAACATCTTTTACAAACCTAGTTTTTAGGCACCGATAGTGGCTAAAAGATCAAGTTACGAATTTTTTATCCAAAAATCAAAATTTCAACTCATATTCACATAAAAATACTCCCGAAAAGCACTCTTATAACCTCAAGAAATTAATTTTCCAACTAAAAAAATCACAATCAAAATGAAAAACCTCTTTTAGCTGTGATTTAGTTTTTCATGTGATATGAAAGCCAAAAATACCTTAATAGAATTCCTCTCATTAAGAGGAAAATTAAAGTAGGAGAAAGCTAAAGACAACAACAAATAAAGAATACATAAATTTTATAAGTGAAAAAGGTTGCGGATGTAAAATTTAAATTTGTTGGTTTATTCTCTCTAACAATAATGCTAATAAACTTTTGTCTCTTGAGGAACAAGACCTTAAATAGATCAGAAATCTTACCTCAACTAGAAAACAAAGCAAAAATATAAAAATACAAAGGAAAAAAGCATAAAATCCAAAATAAGTTATGAAATCCAAAGTAACAAGAAAAAATAACAAAACAGTTAAAATTAGGAGTCTTGACGAGATGTTTTATATCTAAAGACCTAACAATTCTCGTAGAGACATAATGGCTATTAAAAAAAAATAGCCTCTAAAAACTCCTGTAAGAACTTAAGATTGACCTAATTGTTAGATTAAAAGTTATGACTTTTTTGAGCCATTATTCTAGCCTAGCTTAACTAAATCTCCTCTTGGGCCTAGATTAGTCTCACTGGTCCATAAATGTATCACCTAAGCCATTAATATAATTTTTCTAGTGCAAATCCTTATCTAGTTGTAGTAGATCCATACTTGATTGCTCAAAATAAATTGTTATCATAAATTTGATTATATCATTCTTTTCAAGTTGAAAATAACTTGACCTCAAGTTTTGTTCCTCCTCCAATTAAGATGTAAAGTGTTGGACATTGAATACATAAGAAGTTTTTAGATGATTAGAAAGATGAATATTGTAAGCATTATCATTTATTTCTTACAACACCTCACAAAGGCCTATCTTCCTTTCCTTCAACTTGTTATACTCACCCACCGATAACATATCATATGTAAGGATTACCCATACCAAATCATCCTCAAACACCACTCTTCTATGATGAGTATCAACTAGGAACTTATACTTAACATTGTTGTTATTGATTGTTTGATTGACATGATCATGAATGCCATACACGTAATCTTCCATATATGTTGCTTGAATGCTTAATCATCTAATGCGAGGAACAAGAATTAGCTTTAGTACTGCAAAATGATTTTGTCTGTAAACAATCTCAAAGGGATTTGGTTAGGAAGTCCAATTCTAAGACCTATTATAAACAAATCCGCCTGTGATAATGTCATATCCTACTATTTTGGCTTATCTCCTATAAGATTTTATAGTAAATTGTTGAGATTACGATTAACCTCCCCTTTCTACCTATCAATCTAAGAATGATAAGCATTGTTAAAATTCAGTTGAGTTCTCATTTTTCTCCATAAATTCTTTTAGAAAT